CGGAAGGGAGCTTCATCAGAGAAAATAACTTTGCACCAGTCTTCTGCTGTCCAATCCTTGTACTTCGTGCAGAATTTCAGTCTGTCCTTAACGTTTTTCTTGGAGAGAAGTGGCTTCTTTGCTGCCCTTCTTGACACCAGGCTATTGTCCAAAGTCTTCACCTCACTGTGCGTGCAGATGCTCTCACACCAACCTGCTGCCATTTCTGAGTAAGCTCTGCACTGCTGGTGACACAATTCTGTAGCTGACTCCTCAGGAGGAGACCGTCCTGGCGCTTGCTGGACACTCTGGGACGTCCTGAAGACTTCTTCACTGCAGTCGAACCTCTCTCCTTGAAGTTCTTGATGATCCGGTAAATGGTTATTTCAGGTGAAATATTCTTTGTAGCAATTTCCTTGCATGTGAGGCCATTTTGATGCAAAGCGATGATGGCTGCACGTGTTTCTTTGGAGGTAACCATTGCTAACAAGAACACAATGATTGGAAGCGCTTCTTCCCTCCTTTTATAGCAATCAGACTGCTCTTTTAGCAATTATTTAAAATGCATCTGATCACTCTACACAATAGTCTAGAAACAATGTGAATGAACACCACAACAGCTTAAGCAGCAAACTTTGCAAAACACAAAATGTATGTCTCTGCCAAAACTTTTGGCTATTACTGTATATGAAACACTTTGAATGTTAAAAATGTAATTGCATGCAAAACTTGCCACATCCAGAACCTGTTAAACAAAACCAGCTCACTTAATGCTCACTTTTATGCAATATAAACAGGCCATAAACGCTCCAGACTTGCTGATGGGTCTCATCTTTGCTCTGGGAGGTTAGAGATCCTTCATAATCAGACGTGGATGTCAGTGTGTGTCGCTGCCTTTGACCAGCAGGATGCAGAGGTTGTGTGTAGAGAGCTGGACTGTGGGGCTCCTGTACAGGTGCTGGGAGCAGCTGCTTTTGGCAAAGGAGACACTCAGATGTGGAAACAAGAGATTCAGTGTAGAGGAAATGAATCACAGATTTCATTCTGTTCAATATTGTCATCACACAAACACAACTGCACCACTGACAACAATGTGGGACTGATTTGCTCTGGTTAAGTATAAATATCCAGCATCTCTTCATTTGTTTTTGATACTCAGTCATGTCTTAGATTTAAAATATAAAGTTATCAATCTAATGACATCTTAAGGGAAGACACTTTTATGCATTGTTTCTGACCTTTCCTTACTTTGCTCAGGTTACACTGATCTCAGACTGATAAATGGTTCAGACTCTTGTTCTGGAAGAGTGGAGCTTCAGTTCCTCAATGAGTGGGGCACAGTGTGTGATGCATGCTGGGATATGAGAGCTGCCAGTGTCCTCTGTAGACAGCTGAATTGTGGGATTGCTGTGTCTGTTGTGGGATCAGACTCAGCTGTCAATCACCTGCATCGGTGAGAAGAACAACATCTGGACAGATTCTTCAGTTGTTCGTGATCAGTAATGTGTTTTTCTTTCTCTGAATATCAGGTCGTGGGTCCATCAGGCTGGTGGGTTCTGGGGGAGACTGTGCAGGAAGGCTAGAGGTTTTTCACAGCGGTTCATGGGGGACAGTGTGTGACGACTCCTGGGATATTAAAGATGCTCATGTGGTGTGCAGACAGCTGCAGTGTGGAGTGGCCCTCAGTAACCAGCAGGTACCAGCCTGGTTTGGTCCTGGTTCTGGACCCATATGGCTCGCTGAACTGGTTTGGAGAGGGAAGTGCTGAAATCTGGGCTGATGTGTTTGATTGTGACTGGAATGAAAGAAAACTCTCAGAATGTTCCATCTCTTCATGGAGTCGAGCTGAATGTTCTCATAGTCGAGATGTTGGAGTCATCTGCTCTAGTGAGTCTATATTACTGTAAGATTGACTGATATTATGCTACTCAAAGACTCAATAGTAGAAATACAATATTTCATCTCAAATGTATTTCACATGTTTAATTCAGACTGAAAGATTAATGCACTTGTCATTTATTTCTGAATTGATTTATTAATATATAAAATGTTTTATTCTCAAACTTGCAGTATTTTATTAAAACAACAGATTGTTTCATCAGATTCCTCTCTGGCTCTTCATGATGGTCTGGTGCGGTTGTCTGGAGAGAGACAGTGTGAGGGTGAGGTGGAAGTTTTCATCCATCAGGTCTGGAGGAGAGTTCTGCTGGACTCCTGGAGTCTCACTGAATCCTCTGTGGTCTGCAGACAGCTGGGCTGTGGCTCTGTGCTGAACTTCTACGGCTCCTCTTCATCCAGTCCTGAACACAGTCATGAGTGTGTGACGGGCTTCCAGTGCTCTGGGAGTGAAGCTCATCTGGGGAACTGCAGCTCTCCACAAACTCTCAACTGCAGCTCCACACAACAGCTGTCAATCACCTGCATCGGTGAGAAGAACAACATCTGGACAGATTCTTCAGTTGTTCGTGATCAGTAATGTGTTTTTCTTTCTCTGAATATCAGGTCGCGGGTCCATCAGGCTGGTGGGTTCTGGGGGAGACTGTGCAGGGAGGCTGGAGGTTTTTCACAGCGGCTCATGGGGGACAGTGTGTGATGACTCCTGGGATATTAAAGATGCTCATGTGGTGTGCAGACAGCTGCAGTGTGGAGTGGCCCTCAGTAACCAGCAGGTACCAGCCTGGTTTGGTCCTGGTTCTGGACCCATATGGCTGGATGAGGTGGAGTGTGAGGGGAATGAGACGTCCCTGTGGAGCTGCTCTTCTCCAGGCTGGGGAAAACATGACTGTCAACACAAGGAGGATGTAGGAGTCGTGTGCGCTGGTAAACAGTACAATAGTGAGAATGTTTTTCAAAGAAATATCCTACATTTAATAACATATTGGGTCCGGTAATATTTTTAAATGCTGTCAATGATTGCAGCATGCATTAGAATTGTCTTAAGTTATTTAGGTGGTATTTTAAGTTTGGCACAACCTGAATTCCAATTGTATTAATTCACACTTTCCCATCTAGAGTTTAAAGAGATCAGGTTAACTGAGGGCTGTGAAGGGAATGTGGAGGTTTTCTACAATGGATCCTGGGGAAATTTATGTTACAACAAAATGCACAGAGACACAGCGAGTCTGATCTGTCAAGAGCTGAACTGTGGAAGATCTGGCAGTGAACCAAGATATTCAGTGGGACTGAGATCTGCTCGTAATTGGTTAGATCATCTTAATTGTCGAAAACATGATGGAACATTGTGGCAGTGTCCATCTTTACCCTGGGGCCAGAACAACTGTTATGATAATGAGGTGGCCAATATCACTTGCTTTGGTAAGAATAAATGTAATGATTTAATCATTAAATCATGATATAATAATAATTTAATTTCTTGATTTTTGATTGATTTTATTTCAGCAAACCAAACACAGTATTGTTTGTTGTTGAGTTTTCATAAAAGTTTAGTTTCCATCTAAATCAGAGGTTTGTTGAGTCATGCATGCTATAATTACAGAGAAAGAGAGTCCTGAGTCTCCACAGAGTCGTCTGACATGTTCAGCATCTCCTCACCAGAGACAGTGCTCAAGTGAGTAGGTTTTGTTTTAGTAATGAGAGCAATAATAAATGAATGGCTAATTGCTTTTTATTCACCATATAGTTGTGAATTGTCTGGCTGGTAAGTGATAGCTGATGAGTCTCCACATTTATTTCAGAGCATCTTCCTCTCAGACTGATTGGAGAGGAGGGCCGGTGCTCTGGGAGGCTGGAGGTGTATCATAACGCTGTGTGGGGCTCAGTCTGTGATGATCAGTGGGACATCAGCGATGCTCAGGTGGTCTGCAGGCAGCTGGGGTGTGGAGCAGCACTGAGGGCTGATGGGAATTCAGTCTTTGGTGCTGGTGAAGGTGTTGTGTGGCTGAACAGAGTCGAGTGCAGAGGGAATGAGATTCACCTGTGGGACTGTCCTCTCTCCATCAGTGGGACATCAGCGATGCTCAGGTGGTCTGCAGGCAGCTGGGTTGTGGAGCAGCACTGAGGGCTGATGGGAATTCAGTCTTTGATGCTGGTGAAGGTGTTGTGTGGCTGAACAGAGTCGAGTGCAGAGGGAATGAGATTCACCTGTGGGACTGTCCTTTCTCCCTGAAAAACCACACTGACTGCTCCCGCAAAGAGCACGCTGGACTCACCTGTGCAGGTCACAACAAAACACTGAGGAATAATATTCATTTGATCATTTTAGAGCGAATAATGTTTGTGTTTTTGCATGGTTTTTAATGTGTTTGCGTCTGTTTTGACAGACTTGTCAGATGTGTCAGTGTCCACTTCTCCTGCCACAACATCATCAGTTTCTCCTTCAGTGCGCTCAACATCAGTCGCTCCTCCACAAACTCCTCCAGCAGCGTCTCTCTCCGTCCCCCCAGTGCTTGTGATTGTACTGGGAGTTGTGCTCTTACTGCTCTTAGTGCCACTGCTTATACTGATTCAGCAGAACAGAGTGATGAGGAGAGGTAGGAGAGATCCAGAGACTGTCATATTGTGTCTTATTCAGTGTGTGATCAGTCATGTGTTGTGAACTGACAGCAGGTTTGTCTGTCTACACTCACAGCTCTCTCTAAGAGGAGACACAGGACGACGACTGAGGCCGTTTATGAGGAGATTCAGCACAGACCCACTAACACACACAGTCTCTTCACTCAGAGGGGTGAGTAACTGTCATAGATTCAGCACAGACACAGTCTCTTCACTCAGAGGGGTCAGTAAGTGTCATCGTGTCAGATTTGTTTAGATCAACAGGATAATCACTTAATTCTGAGGGATGATTGGAATAAAACACATTGTGGGACGTTGAGTGTTATTTGAAATTATATAGTGTTAGTATTGAATGATCCAAAGGAAGTAGGGGTTTTGGCTGATTTGTGATTATGAATGTGTCTGATGGTTCTACTCCATAACAGGAAGTGTCCTTTCTGAAGAACAGCATTCTGGATATGAAGATGCTGATGAGCTTCTTTCAGGTTAGATGACTTAAAGGGATAGTTCACCCAAAAATGAAAATTCTGTCATTAATTACTCATGTCGTTCCAAACACGTAAGACCTTTGTTCATCGTCAGAACACAAATTAAGATGTTTTTGATGAAATCCGAGAGCTTTCTGACCCTGCATAGACAGCAATGCAACTGAAATGTTCCCAGGCCCAGAAATGTAGTAAGGACATCGGTAAAATAGTCCATGTGACAGAATTTTCATTTTTGGGTGAACTATCCCTTTAAAATAGTAATGTTACCCACTACATACAGAAGCCTATGTATGTTGTGTAATGCATATGCAATTAATTAAACACATTTACTTAGCGAGTACTTAGCACTTTACTTAGCAAACATTTTCTTAGCAGAAATTATATACTGTACACCATTCAACACATAATTTAGATATGGTTTCATTCATTGATTCATTATGCAGATGAAAATGAGGTTGTGAGGGACAGACTTACAGTCTTACCAGTGGCAGGCACTGTACAAAGGTCCTAGATCACTTCGATCACTTCAAGCTTTTGTTTACTTAAAGTTTTTTGAAAATATGTTTTGTCAGTTGAACAATTTTTGTTATTTTTGTTAACCATCCATTGAAGACCCTGTACTTGTATCGCTCACAGCCTCATTTTCATTCTTGTCAAATAATAAATATGGTGATGCACTGACTAAGTTCTGTTCTCTCTTTGTTTTTAACTCATTTAGAAGAGCAACAAATCACACCAGAGAACTACGATGATGTAATCACTGCTGGAGTGAGACATCATGCTACAGGTTTATGACTTATCATTATTTTTACATCTTTTACATCTTTACACAATAAATATATATGTATTTTAATTGATGGATGCATTTAATTTTTCATTGTTTTTGCTGTAGATGACTTACCAGAAAACTATGATGATGTCGTCATTATACGGCAGTTTTCCAGTGATAAAGCAGGTGTGGGATTCAATTTACACCCTTCTAGATTGGAACAGGGTTTTTTTATTTCTTATTTTTCTTCAAATTTTCATGCCATATAAAGTATGTAGTCCAGTGGTGACCAAACCTGCTCCTGGAGGGCCAGTGTCCTGCAGAGTTTAGCTCCATCTTGTCCCAAAACACCTATTAGGAAGTTTCTAACCCTGAAGACCATGATCAAATGGTTCTGGTGTTTGATTGTGGTTAGGACTGTGGCCCTCCAGGAGCAGGATTGGACACCCCTGATATAGTCTTTTTTTTTCATGTAATTAATAATAGCCACATTTATATCAGGGGGTGTTCAGGAGGAGTATGATGATGTGAAGAATGTCAGAGAATATATGAGTGACATGTTTGGTACGTTATTAACAACTTCATTTAGTCTTTATAATCACTTCATATGATCAATTTCTGTGGTTATGAAAGCTCATTTAAATTTACTGCTAGTATATTTTAGTGTTGTAGTGTTTTTTTATCATGCATTTTAATGTATGTATTGATACATGAATTGGCTCTTGTTTTCCAATAACAGACTATGATGATGTGGAGGAGGAACCAGGAAAACAGGCAGGAGCTGTATAACACGAACCACATCCACTGCCTCAAATCCTTTCAAAGCTTTTAAAGTTTTAGCAATCTTACTATATACGTTTCAGTTGCAATCTAACAGTGTTTTGTTACATTCTGTATTGAAATATACAATTGCAATTTTTGACAGAAAAAAATGCTTTGCTTTCATGACCTTTTCAAAACGTAAGACCTTTGTTCATCGTCAGAACACAAATTAAGATGTTTTTGATGAAATCCGAGAGCTTTCTGACCCTGCATAGACAGCAATGCAACTGAAATGTTCCCAGGCCCAGAAATGTAGTAAGGACATCGGTAAAATAGTCCATGTGACAGAATTTTCATTTTTGGGTGAACTATCCCTTTAAAATAGTAATGTTACCCACTACATACAGAAGCCTATGTATGTTGTGTAATGCATATGCAATTAATTAAACACATTTACTTAGCGAGTACTTAGCACTTTACTTAGCAAACATTTTCTTAGCAGAAATTATATACTGTACACCATTCAACACATAATTTAGATATGGTTTCATTCATTGATTCATTATGCAGATGAAAATGAGGTTGTGAGGGACAGACTTACAGTCTTACCAGTGGCAGGCACTGTACAAAGGTCCTAGATCACTTCATTTTCATAAAGCTTTTGTTTACTTAAAGTTTTTTGAAAATATGTTTTGTCAGTTGAACAATTTTTGTTAAACAACAGTACCATCCATTGAAGACCCTGTACTTGTATCGCTCACAGCCTCATTTTCATTCTTGTCAAATAATAAATATGGTGATGCACTGACTAAGTTCTGTTCTCTCTTTGTTTTTAACTCATTTAGAAGAGCAACAAATCACACCAGAGAACTACGATGATGTAATCACTGCTGGAGTGAGACATCATGCTACAGGTTTATGACTTATCATTATTTTTACATCTTTTACATCTTTACACAATAAATATATATGTATTTTAATTGATGGATGCATTTAATTTTTCATTGTTTTTGCTGTAGATGACTTACCAGAAAACTATGATGATGTCGTCATTATACGGCAGTTTTCCAGTGATAAAGCAGGTGTGGGATTCAATTTACACCCTTCTAGATTGGAACAGGGTTTTTTTATTTCTTATTTTTCTTCAAATTTTCATGCCATATAAAGTATGTAGTCCAGTGGTGACCAAACCTGCTCCTGGAGGGCCAGTGTCCTGCAGAGTTTAGCTCCATCTTGTCCCAAAACACCTATTAGGAAGTTTCTAACCCTGAAGACCATGATCAAATGGTTCTGGTGTTTGATTGTGGTTAGGACTGTGGCCCTCCAGGAGCAGGATTGGACACCCCTGATATAGTCTTTTTTTTTCATGTAATTAATAATAGCCACATTTATTTCAGAGGGTGTTCAGGAGGAGTGTGATGATGTGAAGAATGTCAGAGAGTATATGAGTGACATGTTTGGTATGTTATTAACACCTTCATTTAGTCTTTATAATCACTTTATATTATCAATTTCTGTTATCATGAAATCTCATTTAAATTTACTGCTAATATTAATATTATAATGCATTTTAATGTATGTATTGATTCATGAATTTGCTCTTGTTTTCCAATAACAGACTATGATCATGTGGAGGAGGAACCAGGAAAACAGGAAGGAACTGAATAGCTCAAACCACACCCACTGCCTCAAATCCTTTTAAAGCTTTTAAAGTTTTAGTGGTCTTATAAGTTTCAGTTGTTTTGTTACACCAACAGTGCTTTGTTACATTCTGTATTGAAATATACAGCTGAAATTTTTGACAGAAAAAAAAATGCTTCGCTTTCATGACCTTTTCAAAATGTGTTTGACTTTTTCCAGGCACTTTTACAAATCTTTTATATTGTGTAGCCTTTAAAATTTGAGAGAACAAAAAAAACTAACATTCTGAAGGTTTTTGCTTATGAAGCCACCACTTTGCCATATTGCTTTGCCCTAGAATTCCCGCATATTCTACTGAATAAATAGGAAATCCTATAATTTTAATTAGAAAACGTCACCTAACGAGTCAGCATCTGAAGTCTCACTGTACATTTTTACAACAACTTTTTCCTAAGCCTGTAAATGGTTGTTTAATGTCGGGAATTTCCCCTGCTTATTAAAAAATTACATTCATATTCATTACAGTAGCGAATATTTGATCAGCGGACAGACGAGACATCTCAACATATGTATTACAAATGTCAAAGTTATCATTCTGAAATCGGAATAAAAGTGTATGCTTTGCAACGTATACACTGTGTACAGTTATTCACTGTGCTTATGTAATTGTTGTAATATTGTTTTAATTAGTACAGTAGGCTAACTGCAAATATTTCAATAATGATTTTGTTAACAGTATGCATTTTGAAACCGTTAATGATTTAAATGTTGGTTAAATTAATAACATAAAACACATTTTACCTCTATGGAAACTGTAATTCAGTAAAACTCCATAGAATTTGCTCAGTCTTGAAGAGTCTGAAACAGATGTTGCTCAATTAAAAAAAACAATACACACAATTATAACCTATTCAGAGAAAAAATGCTAACTGTGTACAGAGTTTAAAGACAAAGTTTTATTTTCAAGATGACGAGAGCAAAATTTACCTATAAATATATGGACTTAAAATACTATTTGTACTTGTACAGGAAAAGTGAGGTTGGTGAATGGCAGTAATCTCTCTGCTGCTGAGTGGAGGTTCATCATGGTGGTCAGTGAGGAACAGTGTGAGATGATGACTGTGCTGTTCTATTATTATATAATCTTTTTCTACAATATATTAGATTGTTCAGGTGTGTTTGATTAGGGTTGGAGTTAAACTCTATGGACATCGGCACACCAGGGCCGTTTCAAGTTTTCCTTTCTCTTTGGAGTGTTACAAGCTGTTCGTGAATAGATAAGATCCCTAAAGTTGCAAAGACTAAAGTCTCAAACCCAAAGAGATATTCTTTATAAAAGTTAAGACTGGTCCACACCCTCCTAAAACACCTAATTTAAACACGCCGCCCAAATGTTCACGCAAAGAAAGAAGGCGTAACTTTATTGTTGCTGCCACTGCCATGTCGTGAAGACGGTGTGTGTTTCGTTGTTTGGTCTTCCAAAAGAGGACACGACTAGAAATCAGTGGTTAAGTTGTATTTACAACACTGTTCCAGAACAGTTCAACCCAAATATTCAGATGTGTGCAGCGCATTTTATGGAGTAAGTTACTGTTTCCTGATCCTGGGAGAGTAGACTACAATGCCGGCTGT